CAGAACAGGCCCGTCAGGGTGAAGCCAACAGTAGTAGACCAACATGAAGAAGGTTCCAAGGGCAAAGCTGCAGGCCACCAGGCACACAACCACCAGGGCGTAGGAGTCAGAGGTGTGCGGCCCTCGGTAGGTGTACCAGGCGGCAGTCAGTGCCACATTCTCAGCCAGGGTCACAGAGTAGTAGACAGTCATACGAAAACGACTGGGGCCCTCTTTGACATTAAACCAGCAGAAGATGTAGATGATGCCAACCACCATGTTGTAGATGATCTCCTCCCATTTGGACATGCAGAAGTCGGTCTCACCTTGGATGATCCAGAAGGTCATGACACACCTGAAAGACAATCCAGAATATTTTAGGTGCCAATCAGAAAATTTAAATTTAAATTTTTTGTTTTTTCCACAGACATAGGAATATATAGTTTCATTTTTGTATGCAGGTATGGGCGCTGATGGCCTAGCGGTTAGATCGCGCCCCATTTGCAGAGAATGTATTCCTCCAAGCGGGCAAACCCGGGTTTGAGTCTGACCTGTGGTTCCTTTTTTTTTGTTTTTATGCAAATTATGCTGGCCAAAGGTTACTTGTAATTCTCGAAATAATACAATCATGAATAACATATGCCAAATGCAAAGCTTCTCATTGAGGACTCAGGCTCTTTGCATCAGGTCAAACATGGCGCACCAGTGGCTGACGATGAATATCCCAAAGTAGAGCTGGAAGACGGAGGCAAAGAGGGCGAAGGCCACCGTCCTCGCCCCTATGGTGAAAAAGTGCCACAGCATCTGGGTGATCACGGCCTTGTAGGACATTGGCAGTTTGTCATCGCGGGAGTCCCGGAGAACCTTCTGGTACGAGGCGATCATCCAGGCCAAGGACACCAGGGAGGCAGAGGCAGAGAGACCTAGAGAGACAGATGAAGAAGAGGAGAATGAAGAGGCACAGAGCAGAAAGGATTGGAAAATGAAGAGAAGATGGTAGAAAATAGTGTAAGAAAATGTTGTAGGACAGCATTATAATGTACCCTCCAGCTTATGGCAGATACTTAATAAGCACAAGTGTTTAAATCATATGCCTTCAAAAACCATTCCACAATGGATAAACCATATTGTGCTTATCAGCCCACAGATTCAAATATCTAGACAGAAAAAATCCCATCTGAATTACGACTTTGTTAATGGGATACCATGCCACACTGGTGTTTTTGCAACATTCATCACTAATCAACAATGTCAAAACCTTGATTTTTGACAGAAGTCCATTAGAGTGGGTGAGCAGAATCCATATATGCACGGGATCAGAGATGTGATTTAAAAGGGTATGGTTTGGATTGAAAGACGATGGATACTCATTTTCATGCTTCTCATGTAAGGCCTACAATGTTCCCATGGCAACGCAAACCCATACCTTGGTAATGTTTGGACATACAGATCTGATCTGATCCTTTGTAAATAACAGTGCAGACAGTCCTCTAAGGCTAGAGATAAACTCACTTTTTAAACATGTGTTGGCATGGACAACCAGCTGTGTCCTGAATGTATATGTTCACAGACTTGTTACTGGATGATACCTCTACATGGCAAGACAGAGAGCTAAGGCCATCTGCAACTACATGATAAGCGGTTAACTACAGACATGGTCAGATTTGGGAAGGTAACTATTATGTTAATTCTGAGATCACGGCAGAAAAAAAAACAAAAACTTTGGTGGTATGTTAGCAGACAGAACCATCAGCATTGCCCGCATTCATTTTCTCCTACAATTTTACTTTGTACATGGACGTAACAATCATGAACATGTTTCTATTTAGTTTTGCAGGTTTCTTTGTCCACTTCTAAAATGAAACAAAACTGTTGTCAACTATTGACAGGTTTTTTTTTTCTATTTTTAGTGACCATGACACATCACATAAATGTGGGTAGTTGAGGACTTGGTCTTTCAGTGTGTCATTATCACCTTCGGTCGTTGTTGCCCCCGTTGACAATGTCACTTCTCCTCTGCCTTGCCCCTGGTGTTAATTTTCAAACTGCATTGCATTTGATTATGAGGAAGTGCATAGCTGACGCTTCAATCTGACACTGGGGGCCCGGAGAAGCCATGTGCATGCAAACATGTACTGTAGGTACAAGTAATGGCCTGGGTGCAACCAAAAGATGGCAAAATTTAAATAAATGACTGATAATGTAATGTTAAATTGCTAAATGACCTATTATTGATAGCTGTTGAGCACCACTTTGAAGTTGGTACAATCCTACAAGCATGATTTGAATTGAATACTTTGAATTATGTACTTATTCAAATGGACCTGAACCCTTTCCCGCTGAGGTCAAACGCTCATTAGACAGCACATGGAACAGTGAGTCCTGCCTCCAGCAGCCAAAAGTGCAGTTTAACACATTAAACATTCATGTGTGTTAATCATGCAGTCTGAGCTCAAATTAGCCTCAAATCATACTGAGAAGACATTTTGAGCAGGGAAACAGCTGCACTGACTTTTTAAGAACCTAACATGTTTTACCATGAGGTGCATTTGACAGAGTTGTGGATTATAGATGGTAAACCTTTCTTTATTGGTATTTATGAGTAGTGTTTAGTGGTTTAACAAATGGAGCCGCTGTGATTAGGTTAAGCCGTCAGTTTTTTACCAATTCCCATGGTTCTAACCAATAACCTTGCAAATGCTGTCATATGCTCAACTTTAGTTTTATTCAACTTTGGTGTAAAATTGGATAAGATGGACCGATGTATTTTCACTGATGGGCCAAGGCACTCGGTCAGACTTTATGCTATTTGTTTCCAAACCAATCAGATGGATATAATCCTGGCCGTGCTGATATACAGTAGAACAAAACAACCCTGAATGTGATATTGCTTTAGTTTTTTTTAACGATTTCTTTCTCATATCTTGCAGGCCTAAATGACAGACGCTGATGGATACCGAGGTTCTACCTGGATTCAGACAAAGACCCTCTGTTGTAATGATTATTATAACATTAAAATGACATTAATAATGATAATTAGAAGACTGAAAGTGGCGAATTATGCAAACTTAAAGTCCTATTTATGTTGCACTCTGTATCAGGACTCGTCCAATAGGATAATTTCATTAGATATATAACTGTTATATATGATGCTATTGAAGTCCTTTAAGCCAGAGAATTTTTCCCCTTGAGTTGATCCATCTTTTCCCAAACCTACGTTCTCCTCCTATACATTTAGACTTCCATAATCAACATAAAACTGGACAGTGTGAGATGATTCTGCAAACGAGGTCTGAGAATACCAACAACATGCCAAACCAACAACATGACAAGATTCCTGAAATGCAGCTTAAAAAAACAAAAAAAAAAAACAAAGCAGCTATCTAAGAAATTAACCCAAAACAAAGGGGATTATGTGTAGAAAGAGACAGATGCAGCTTGTTATGCTTGCAAAGCCCAGCTAATCCCAACACTTGGAGGAACTGGATCCAGCAAATGTTTAGGATTTGTACTTAGCAGACGACTTGAATGATTAATTGGCAGCACTGATAGTTGATTAAGTTAATTGATTGGCTGAACTAAGGGCATGTGAGCTGTGGAAAAGTCTGCATGGTATTATGTAGGCGCCGCCCCACATTGAATAACATGAGTGACAGCAGAATGTGTGTGTGCAGGTGTGCTGATAATTATACCTTTGTGAGGACTTTAGATTTTTTGACTTTGAGTATGAATGGGGACATTTCTTCTGTTCTTTGTAAAGTACAGTTTTGGGATTAAGATTTGTTTAAAATTTAGGTCACTATACGATATGATACCATGTGATACCATATGATACCATGTGATACCATGTGATACCATGTGATACCATGTGATACAATGCGATACCATGTGATACCATGTGATACCATGTGATACCATGTGATACCATATGATACCATGTGATACCATATGATACCATGTGATACCATGTGATACCATGTGATACCATGTGATACAATGCGATACCATGTGATACCATGTGATACCATGTGATACCATGTGATACCATGTGATACAATGTGATACGATGCGAGCCGAACACTATAGTGTCCCCTTTGGGAAATATGTCTAGTTGATGGTCTTCACAAGAACAGAAATACATACGTGAGTGTTTGGATAGTCACTGCACCTAAACAATGTCTTAGCCTGAAACTTCTACATTTTTTAAGTGATTGTATACAAATGATTTAATTTAAAATGTTACTTAATTTAAAAGTTAAAATAAGATATTTGTGTGTCACATGTCATCAGAGTAACACATTTTTTTTTAACAGGACCGTTTAAAATGAGAGAATAATGGAGTCCACTTTGGGTTTGGGTGCAAACTCAGCTGGCTAGTCTCCCTTCGCAGGAGACCCGCAAATGTTAGCCGAGCGACAACACAGGTATCAACACAGAATGACTCTCTGAGGTTTCAAATGATCCTCTAGTGACTGTCAAAGCTCCAGCAAATGCCCTCTCTCTCTCTCCGGCAGACAAACAGAGAGGCTGAGAGCCGCTGGTTTGCTCTGATGACCGTCACTTTTGCTCGCCTCTGTCCACGCTACGCTGAGCTTTCACAACCACTCAGTGACCTCAGGGTCCCCCTCAAAGATTTCAGGGTGTATTTCAGTTGGTTTTCATGTCCGTCCTGCAACTGTGTGTTCAAATATATGTCTGACACTTGACTTCTGTGCTGCCAGGTGTGTGTTAACGCTGAGAGACTCTACAGTATGTGTGTGTGTGTGTCTGAGAGAGAGAGAGAGAGAGAGAGAGAGAGAGAGAGAGAGAGAGAGAGAAAGTGTTTTATTTTATTCATCTCAGGCCTGCTTTGTGAAAGAATTGCATGAATAAAGCATCAACTCTCACTTATATCTGTTCTAAACACTCAAATACGAACACACACACATACAAACAATAATTTCAAATGTGTAGGGCAAAATCAGCAGAGACAGAAGGTGCTGCTTTGCCCACAGGGGGCGCCAAGGTAATCTGTATTTTTTCACAAGGCACTTGAAGATTTTTACCAATGTTTTTACTTGCTTTTTACTTGGACCTACAAATAAATAGTTTAAATTATCATTGTAGCATTTTGTGCGATGATTAATCGTATCAATCGAAGGCCGTCAAGCCTTCCAAATTGTTCTCCTAAACGTCTGATAATTCAGTGAAGTATAAACGTGTGTATCTCACCCTGCAGCGGGAGGACGGTGTTTCCGTGGATCATGATGCTCAGCTGGAGGACGAGCTGCGGGGCGGACTTCAGGAACGCCTCCAGGAGGCGGAGCATGGTGATGTCGGCGCTCTCGAACATCAGCCGCCAGTGGAAGTGACGACGGGGCCCGTTGCTGTGCAAACGACTCTGCGCGCCCAGGTAGAGAGCGTGGATGTACCTGAGAGGGACAGACAGAGAGATGGGAGACGTTTAGAATAGTGATGCATGTTGGGAAGGACTCCTTTATTATTCCAGAGTCTCAGTTTTCTTGCAGAGGATCATCTTACGGACATTCCCACAAGAGTTAAAGCTGCACATGTTTAGTTGCTCACAGAGTTAATGTCTGTCTTTGCTCACTGTGTTGATGGTGTAGATCTCTGCACGCACAAAACAATTCTGCACACAAATCGTAAAATTACGGTATTCTGCAAAATGCAATCAAACTGAATAGCCACTGGCAACCATATTTGCATATCCAGAAGACAATGCAGTGATTCTTAATAACTGGTGTACACTTTGGGAAACGGTCATACAGACAGTTTTGGGGGATTTTGCAAAGTGAGTAGATTTTAGTTTGTATTCTTTGTGACAATATGTGGATTGGTCTGAAGCATGATTTCCCCCCTCCAGAGTCCCCTTCTGCCCTACACCGGCACTGCTCCAAGCCCAACCAGGCCTGAGCATGGTGACCTCTTGTGCACAAGTCATCCCGGGATGACAGAACACATGCATGGCTTTAGAGGATCATGAAATGTCTTTTTGCTTTTTGAAGTTGTGCGGCCTCAAAGTAAGAGCATTACGGCAACTTGACTGACTTGGTGGCTTACATACGACCCTCTTACTGGATTTCTTGATTATGCAATACAGCGATCGATAACAGGTCCCATCCACTCAAATGTACCATGCCGAAGCCAACTTCTTCCAGCTGTGCCAGGGCCAAGGAAGCACTCACACCAGTCAAACAAACTGGACTTTCAGGGTCAAATGTGCTTGGGCACAGTATGGATTGCCTACTATTAGTGCACCCTAAATATAAGTAGGTAACATTCTTATATTTGGTGCAAAGTTATCCTCTCTCAATGCAAGTGAGTATCACTGCAAAAAAGTCCAATGCACAAATGTGAACATGTCAGAAGTCTTGTTGGTTTACAATCTGCTGCAGGCATGTCAGAGATGTCCTTAAAACAGAAATGTCTGTTATTTGGGTGAACTGGACTTTTAAAGTGACACAAAGTGTTAAAATAAAAACCTTTAGAAAGAGAGGAACGCCTGGATTGGACAATGGTTTCCAAGCACATCAAACTGAGTGTGCTGAACATGTTTTCTCTAACGTTCCAGATTTACATGTTTCATTTCCTGTAACATATCTGCACGGTCAGACTTTTTCAAAACATACAAGAGGTTTCTTATTTGTAAAATAAACATCAGTAAGTATTGCTTTTTTTTTTGTCCACTCTGTTGTATTCTGAGATGATGAAAGTGGTGTTGGTGTATAAATAGCACTTAAAATGCTCAGTTTTGATGTTTTGAAGTTTCTTACTTTAGAGCAGAAATCTTAATTTGACAAACTCAGCTGGTGGAATCAAACAGCTCTGAGGATGTCAAACAGAATAAAACTCATCTTCCAGGAGAAAATGTGCACGCTCACTGCTGCTCGTCTCCTGGGATGAGGGAAAAAAAAACAAAAACACCACCAAGTGTTTCTCCTGGGAAACATCTTTACCCTCACCTGTCACCACTCTGCTCGGATTTGATGATGTTTTTTGTGTCAGTCGCGATATTGGTCGCCGGGTTGCAGCAGGTCAGCGTGCGCAGGCTGGAGAGCAGCCTTGTTTTTCAAAATCTGGAGACAAATATTGATGCGAGGGGGAGGAGGGGGCCGACTGTTCTTTCACCTGCTGCTGCAGCTCGGGGTCTGCATGAAAGAGACTCTGCTGTCAGTCAGCTACAGAGAGACTCAGAAACACACAAGATAACCGTTTAAAATTAAGGAGTATGAATTGACTTTGGGAGTTGACTGTCACTGTGTGTGTGTGTGTGTGTGTGTGTGTGTGTGTGTGTGTGTGTGTGTGTCTGTGCCTTGCACTCACAGGCCTTTTGCCTTGTTGGATCAGAAGCAAAATTACTGAATCTTCTGGAGCATCACAACATCAGTTTAAAGCACTTCTCACTGACGCTTATTGTTGCTATTATTAAATAGTCATTAAGTTAACTTCTGCTTCCCTTGGTAGTGACCATAAGGTTACTAGCTCCATGTGCTTAATACTTTCCTTTATTCGTGGAAATATCCCCAAGAAAACATGAATAAATAAATCCAGTTCGGGCATTAGCAGTCGTTCTAGATCTGGAAATTGTAACCCACGAAAAGAGAAGTCAGAGTAATTTCTCCTGAGGACGTTCTTCTGTTCAGGCCGCTGAGCACTGAAAACATCGAACTGCATTGATTTTGTATTAAAAATATGGACTGCCAGTAGAAAAAGAGCCATAATGGACTCTTAAAGTGCTTAAAACAAGTACGCCTTTATTCTTGTCAAATGCCGGATACGCTAACATTTTTAGGACTTAAAATCTTTAAAATGAGGCAGTCCAATGAGGGAAGCTGTTTTATTGCTTTATTTTATTTAAATGATGTCTTATTTAAGCTGACGTTTGTTAAGAAGAAATCCAGGATACATTTCTTGTAAGTGAAAACCTCCTGGGTCATAAACCTGCTCCTTATTCTGAAGACCACTGTGAGGTAATAATCTGTGGAGAGGGGTCGCACAGAGGCCATTACCTCATTTTCAAGAGGTCGTGTATTAGACAGATGACTGTGGTAGGCCGTGTGTGTGTGGAGAAGGACTGATGCATCATGGGAGAAGAGGATGTCAGACAGCGGTAGTTGTGAAGCACCATGGACGGACAGGTTGTGGAGGAGAAATGAACGCTCGCTCGCTGGAGGAAAAATGAGACGACACTCACTTCCTGAGCTTCTGCATCCCCAAGCAGATTTTAAATAGAGGGGTAAAAATAAACCAGAAGGGTATATGCACAGCACGCATGCACACACACACACACACACACGTGTACACACACATGTGTAAGCACACACACACACACACACACGTCAGCATATATGATGATGTTCAAGCCTGCACAGCACAGTACAGACAACCACAGATGCACATGTGTATTTAGTTGACATGCACATTCAAACAACATGCCCACACACCTAAACACACATATGATATGACACACATGCACACACACAAACATACACACACACATTCATAGTGACAGACAGGCAGGAAGGCCAACGAGGCAGCCTAGAAATCTGTAGCTCTGCAAATTATTTGCTGTCCAAGCACTGCAGGCATTCCTCCGGTCTCTCTCTCTCTCTCTCTCTCTCTCTCTCTCGCTACCTCTGTAGCTCTCTCTCTATTTGTCTGTTTTTGTCTTTTACATCTCATCCCTTTATTTCTCTGCCCTTTTCCTTCCTCTTGACCTTTTCTTCAGTTTCTTGTCTTTTTTAAAGGCTCAATGGGTCACTGGCTCCACACTGAAATAAAAACAAAGCTATTTGATGGATTTTACTTTTTGTGGAAAAAATTCATGTTCCCTTCAGCATAAATTACAAACCCCTGCATCCTCATCATCATCATTAACATGCCAGCATGCTAATAATCAGCTTTGGAAAAATATATATTGCACAGTAGATGTTCACAAATGTCTCATTTTACATGTTCGTGCAAAACTGTAGATTATTTTTATTGCCGTATTTTTGATGACAACATACACCTGAACTCGCCTGTGTACCTAGCGCCTGGCGTACAGCGTATGATTGTGGAGACTTTGTGGTGGAGGGTCAGCTCACACTGAACGAGTGAATCGTTTATGATGAACAACCAAAGCTAACGATTCAATAAACACACGCTTGCTAGCAGCTAACAAAAATTCCCTGTCAGCTGGAGGTCCGCAGATATTTCCTGCCAACGTTTCTCTCATGATAGGAGGGGAAGGACAGATTAAACAGGCGTGTCTGATGTTGCCATGGTGATTTCAGACGCTGTCTGTCAGTTTGTGCGGGTGCAAATAAAAAGTCCCAAAAAAGTCGGTGAATCGGCTCGTGGCTCTGCTCTCACGGTGTGTGCAGTGAGTCAGACGACCAAAATATGAAACATGCCAGAAAATCATCCAACTGCTCAGGAGCAGCTGACCCGGCCGGGATCGTTAGTCGGACCAATGACGAGAGATTCAGAATCTGTGGAACCTGTATGTAACTGTTTTGACCAAAATTGTGTTTCCTATTTTTTGTTTTCTCTTTTATTATTTTTTTCTTCATTCTTCATCTTTCTTACCTGTATCTCTTTCATCCTCTACCTTTCTTTTAGTCTTTTTTTAATTCCCTCTCTCTCGGTTTATCGTCATCTTCCCCCTTTTTCCTCTCTCTCTCTGTTTTCTGGCCTCTTTTGCTTTGCTTGTTATCTCTCATTTTGTTGTTTACTCAATCCAATTACATGCAGCTATTGTCTTTCTCTCATTCTCTTGTTTTTCTTTCTCTCTACATTATCTCTTTCTCTCTCCAACCAATTTATTTTGTTCCTCCCTCTGGCGTTCTCTCTGCCTCCAGCTTCCAAATCTATCAAATCTATATGACTCCTCCTCTCCCTCTCCCTCTCTCTTACCTTTATCACTCCTTTTTCTCCTCTTTCTCATCTTCTTTCTTCTCCTCTTTATCCGTCTTGCTCTCTCTCCTCCCACTGGTCCTCCTTTCCTCTTTGCCAAAAACTCCTCTATCTACAAGGCCACAGTCGGACCGCAGAGACCCTGAGCATTTACGAAAAAGAGCTTGAGTGTGTGCTTTTGTGTGTGTGTAAGTGTGTGTGGAGAAGTGCTGCCAAGTGCGATGGTGAGCAGAGAATGAACCAAGGAGAGAGACTCTCACACACAGAGACACTAAACTGTTACACACACTTCATGTCAGTCTCTCTTGAATTAATATTGCAGGTCGGTGGATGAAACAGAAAGGGAGACAGAGGCAGAGGTTTGTCATTTTACTTAAATTTTCAGAAGTGCTGAAACATTTGTGCAGCAACCTGGAAGCTGTAGAGTTAGAAAAATATTATACAGCGACAAAACAGCGACAGAAACGACTCCTCCTTACCGAAACTCTCATCCAGGTCTAACTCCGCCCATACT